GTGTGGGCTGGCTTATTCAGTTATATTAAAAGGAAGTTTCCAACTGATGTTTGATTACATTCCTGAAGGAAAAAAACAAAGACTATAATGAGAAAATTAGAATTACTCTTTCCTCAGGAGTAAAGATTCCTGGTCTAAGAACTTGTTTTGAATCTGTGGTTAGAACATAAACAAACAAACAAATAAAACTTGAGCCTAGATCTATCCTGACTCTAAAATTCAAGTTAATATGAACATAATAGAATATAAAAACATAATAGAATATAAAAAGCATAATACAACTTATATATTCTTAACCTTCTATTTCCCACCAATGTAACCTGAAAGGTTTTTTGGCATGATTTAAAAATTAACTCAAATCTCTTCAGGGTGTTTCTCCTGGGAAGCCCAAACGAGTAAGCTTTCTACCCTTATGTTTCTCTTTCTGTTACTTTCCTTTCAAGGTATTCAAGTGCTCAGTAATAAGAAGCTTTCAACTGAATTTGGTGGGGCAAACAAAACCGGCTGGTCTTTCTTCATGTGATAGCTCAGATAGACACTGACAGACACCGACTCTTGGTGTCACTGTGTAGCTGTACTCTCTGAATGGCTTGGCCCGTGCCTGTCCGACATAAACAATTATTCATGAAGTTAAATTATTAATATTTAGGAGGAAAATAGATTGCCTGTGACTAATGCAGTACAAAATAGTACTCAAAATTATGTTTGAATGTTTGTCCTCTACCTGTCCTCTATAGTTAGCAAAATGCAACTAATGATTTGTATTTAATTTGTTTTCCTACTCCAATTATAGTACAGCAAGATTTAAAATAAATGGCTACTTCTTTTTCATTTTATTGGTGAATCTCATTAGTTACAAGTATATATATTATTTTTATATAAAATGTGAAAACCAAAAACACTTCATGTTTTTAGAAAAGAAATTCATGTTTATAATATTCATGATTCCCAGATGTTATTAATGAGAAGGTATTTAGAGAATTTCCTCTGAAAATTTTATCCTATCCCCATACAACTTATGATGTTTGAATATTTTACAATCTTAAAGTCATGAAGAAATTGTTAATACTAATGGAATGAGCAAGAGAGAAGGATCATTCTGCACAGATTAATCCAGGAAACACCTTGGCCTGCCTAGACTGGGTAGATTTTATCACTAGGCCTTTCCAATTCATGCTATTCATTGTTGACTACATTTGACCTTCTAAAAATTAAATCTGGAAGTGCCTGAAGCTTTAGTATACACCAACTTCTCTAGTGGGTCCTAAACACCAAAGATTCTCCTTGAGAAAGTTTTCATTAGTCTATGTAGAAAACAGGGAAATAGAAATAGTTTCATATATTTGTCATTAAGCTAGTTATCAGATTTGAAGAACTATCCTTTACTCTGACAGGATCTTTACCACCTTTTAGAATTTAAAATATCCATGATTTTATGAAATAAGAGTAGAGTATAGGATTTTCTTAAAAATGACCTTATTTGGCAAACTAGAGGATAGACAACCTAATATAAGTCAACACGGCTTAAAAATCAGTATTTAAAAATGCAAAGTCCAGGGATATATGTGGTCTATACCATATACCTTTACTATTAATAGTAGAATCACCATTGTAATGACTGAAGTATTCTTTTTCCTCTTAGTATAATATATTTTAATTGTCTTCAGACCAGGAAAATGCATATGAAGGTACATCTAGAAAACCCAATATTAGCTCATCAATATTTATCTCATTGTTCAGAGGAATGTATATACATCTGAATCTTTTGTTTTCCTATATAATTCTAGCTACATTTAATTTTAGCTACATAATCAAAGTGAAATGAGGAGTATTTGGACCTTTAAAAATTTGTAGTAGATATCTCCTACTACACAGTTAAAATTATAACAGGAAAAACACAAAAGAAGCAATTCTTCAGGATAAAGGAGCCACTACTCAATAAATAATTTAATAACTATTCAATTAAAGCATCTTGCAAAGCTATAAAAAATCTGGAGAAAATAGAAAAACATAATGAGAGATCTGGGAAGGAGAAATTGCATCCACTAATAATCAATGCATTTCCAGATCATTATTATAATGCTGACAGAATTGAAGAAGAAAAGAATAGCACAAGCCAAACCATTTGGGAGGTTATTACAATATAGCTCAAAATGAATACAGTAAAATCACTGGCACAAAAGTATTATTTTTCATTTCAAATCTATACAGAAAGCATATAAGGATCATTAATTAGTTGTTCTCATATTCTATTTGGAGAAAGACTACAATGTCCTTGAGACAAAGTTCTTATTGAAAAAAGAGGTTACAAGTCTAAATAGGGGAAATGGAGTTGAGATCCATTTTTATGCAAATTTTTGGCCTCTATTTTTTTTAATTAAAAGTTAATCCCCAAGTATATTGATGCCAACCCTATGGAAAACTGGCAGTGTCTATTAAAGCTAAATTTATCCATATCGTATAAACCAGCAATTCCACTCCTAGTTATATACTCAACTGAAATGTTTACATATTTTTTTTTTTTT